GAGCTCCCCGAGCTGAGAGCCTGGCTTTACATCTGTGCAGCTGCCGTTATGGGGGATTCAAATTTAGCTGTCGCCACTCAAGCTGCCAGCTTCCTGGTTCTCTGCAAAGAGGGGTGGAGGTTGGGAACCGGGAGAGGTGGGCATGTGTTGTAGTCAGTTCGGGCTGCTGTTAACAAAATGCCAGGGCTTTGGAGGCTTATCAACAACAGAAATTTGTTTCTCACAGTTTTGGAGGCTTGATGTCGGATGTCAGGGAGGCAGCAGGGTGGGGTGAGAGCTGTCTTTAGGGTCGCTGACTTCTCACTTGTCCTCACATGACTGTTGGGGTGAGGGAGCTCTTGGGGGTCTCTCTTTTTTTTTTTTTTTTTTGAGAGTGAGAGAGAGAGAACAGGGGAGGGGCAGAGAGAGGAGAGAGAGAGAGAGAGAGAGAGAGAGAATCCCAAGTAGGCTCCGCACTCCCCAGCAAGGGGCTCAAATTCAGGAACCACGAGATCTTGACCTGAGCGGAAATCAAGAGTCAGACACTTAACCGACTGAGCCACCCAGGGGCCCCTTGGGGCTTCTTTTATAAGGGCAGGGAGCTCATTACCAAAGGCTCTGCCGCTCAGGACCTTGTCATCTCCCAAAGTCCCCATGTCCCAATGCTGTGACCTTGGGCATTAGGTTTTCACCATATGGATTTTTAGGGGGAGACATGCGCTCAAGCCATAGAAGCATGTCAGGGAGTTCTGTTAACTGGTTCCCTCATTCAGTTATTCAGTGAGTGAGTCAGTCATCAGACAAACATTTATTAGCACGTGCCACGTGCCCAGGCCCCATGCTGGATGCCAGATCTGCGATGCAAACCAGATAATCCGGGTGCCTGCCCCCATGGAACTAACAGTGAGGAAGGCGAGATCAGAGGAGAGGCTAGGGGGAGCGCAGAAGTGAGACTCACCCCATATGTGGAGGAGGGGCAGTGAGAGGGCTTCCTGGTGGAGGTGTCAATTGAGGTGGGACCCAAACATGAGGAGAAGTTAGCCCGGAAAGGGGGCGGGGAAGGGCATTTCAGGCAGAGTGAAGAGCCTGGGAAAAGTGAGAAGGGACACAGAAGGGACCTCCCCCACCAAACTCCTTTGTTCTGTTTCAAGGTCAGAATCCTCTGAGCAGAGCAGGGCAACAGCTCACTTCCAGAATCGCCCCACGCCCATCCCCACATAGGTAGTATTCCCATTATGACACCTGAGGCAAGGGAGGCTCAGAGAGGTTGAGTAACTCCCTCAAGGCCACACAGCAAAGACACTTTGGATCTGGACCAGCTTGGTGGATGTGGGCATCAGGGACCCTCCCAGAGCCTCCAAGGTTTACAAACTGTGCCCCCCAGCAAATCACCTCCCCTCACCGAGTCTCAGTTTCCTTATCTGCAACATGAGACCCAAGCACAGTCCCCCCGCACCTCCTCCCCCACCTGTTACAGCCACATCTCTCGCTGACCTCATTAGGACAGTTGGCCTGGAAGCAGCAGTCCCTGGTGGAAGGTCGGCCAAAAACCCTGTCCCAACTAGGCCAGCCGCGACGGGATCTCCCTGTGGGCATCTGGCCTAATTGACACCCCCGTCCCCCCCCCCCCCCCCCGGGAGCTGTGCCAGCTTCTCTATGATCATTTGACAATCCAAGAAACACTCTCCTGGAGCCCCTGTGAGCCAACCTCAGGACTCAGCTCCTCTGTAGCCAGAGGACGAGGTTCCAACCCTAGTCGGGGCTTCTCTCCCTGCCAGGGTCATGCTGGGTGCCTCCCATAGATGGCTTCGCTTGATTCCCAAAGCACCCGGCGAGGTCAGTATCTATGTCCCCTCCTTCTGATGGGTCCCAGGACAAAGCGACTAAGCGGGGGAGGGGACCACCCACAGAGCCCTCAGCGTGCAGGAGGCAGCCTTTGAGGGGCTCCCTGGGGTCCCGGACCCCGGTTCCCCCATCTGGAAAACGAGGATGGTGAGGGCCATCTTGTGGGTAAGGCATTGGCTTCAGTTTCCCCATCTGTAAAATGGTGTGGATCTGACGCGCCCGGGGTCGTGTAAGAATCAACCACCAAATAATAACAACAGTGCATGATTATTGAGCACCTGCTGTGTGTCAGGTACTTTTTAGGGGTGCTGAGTGATTAACTCTTTCAATCTTCGCAGCAATCACAGGAGGTATCTCCTGCTGTTATCCCCATTACGCAGTTGAGCAAACAGAGGCCCCGAGAGGTTAAGAAACTCACGCAAACACAGGTAAAGGCCTTAGCACAATAAAGGTTAGCTTTTATTTCTGTGCCACTCCCTTTAGCATCCAAAGAACCCCTTGCCACCCTCCCCCACCCTTCCTGCGCCTTCCACCTCCTTCTAGACAGCGTCAGAGGGTGTCATTCATGGGGTCACCTACGGACAGAGGCGCAAATGCTTTCCCCTTGACTAAAGTTAGACAGCAGAAGGAACTTCCCAGCCATGGGGGCTGCGAGGAGAGGAGCGCGTTCCCCACGGTCAAGGCCAAGAGATGCCGAGATGAAAATGTGAACTAAGACAGCAATAGGGACAGGTGGCCCCTCCGAGTTCCTTCCAGCCTTGGGATTCCAGAGGCAGGACAGCAGTGGGGCCCACGTGGAGCTGTCTCTCTTGGTTGTTTCTTTCTGAGGTTGGGGATGCCAGGCTATTGTCTGGCACTGGGGGAGGGGGAGTGCCTCGGTGACAGGATCCTGGGACTGGTGAGAACATCCCTTCCCCACCCTGCGCACGCCAGCCCCCCAGAGCAGCTGGGCAGCATTTCTGCTGTCTGCGGGCTCATTTATCATTCCGAGGGGGGCATTGCCGCCGTGAGGTCCCCCGGGACAGCTCTGCCATGGCCCCATCTGATTGAAATCCAGGCCCAGTGCACACTTGGCCCAGGGAAGTGGCTGCCCAGAACCCGAAATAAATAATACCACAGGCAGGAGGCACAAATCTGCTGCTAATTACGGCATATCCTGATTAAATGGGGTGCATAAATAAATATTTCAACTTGGAAGATGAATCAGCCAGGAAGATCACCACACCAGCCGTACTCTGAGCCTCAGCTTCTTCCCCACGGGGGCAGACAAAGACAGAACCTTGGCCCACTTGCCATGTGACTCGGGATCCGTCCCCACATCCCCCAGCTTGGCCTCAGTTTCCATATCCATCAAGTGGGGTGTCAGTGATCACCCCGCAGTCAAGCCCACAGATCTGGAGGGAGAATCGGAAAGGGCATTTGGGGTGGCTAGGTTTTGACAGAGTCAAGGAGGCAGTGATTATAAATAGTAAAGAACAAAGAATTCGGAGCCAGGCGGTCTTGGGTTTGAATCCCAGCTCTGGGACCATCCCTCTGCCTCGGTTTCTCCTTCTGTAAATCGGGTGGATGTGACCAGTCAATGAACGCTCAGAGCCACACCTAGCACACAATTAGTAACCACTCTTGGGATTAGGAACACCGCACGCTTGAATCCTGGCAGTTACTGTCATTAAATGTGGAGGTCCCCAGAAGACCCAGCCCCAGACAAGGTCCACACTCTTCACACCCGCTTCAAGGCCCTGCCTAGAGATGTCTGTGCCTGTCTTCACAGATGCCACCTACTCATTTCCGAGAGGCAGAGCGATAATAGAATCGGGGGGCCCAGGGGAGGGGAGGAGGAGGGAGACTCATCCTGGAAAAGTTTAAATCAATTAACTCCCTTCCAGAAAACAGGCTGAGAAATGTAATGGAGAAGTAATGACTTTTCTCCACAGGATTAAATGACACAGACCAGGGCCCAGCGAGGAATCAGGAAGGCGGGCACAGGAGCCCTGTCTGTGACTGCCTGTGTGGCCCTGAGCGAGTCTCGTTTTCTTCCCTGAGCCTTAGTTTCCCTATCTGTACAAGGGGAGGGCTTGGGCCGGCGAGAGGGAATGGCTAATAGAAGGCCTGCCTCCTGTCCCTTTCCCCACCCTTGCCCGAGCAGACATTGCTAATCAATTGCAGCACTGTTCTCATTGAGCCTGCAGGGGGTGACAAAGCCAATCCAAGCCAGAGCTCCAGGCTTTCCCTCTGGATGGGCCAGGGTTGGCGTATAGGCACCAGACTAGGTTCAGATGGTCTGCAAGCTCTCCTGTAGCACTAGGGTAATATTCACGATGGTGTTCTTACTGCTCTGGTAGACTCAGGGTCCATCATACCACTGATAGCAAAGGTTAACATTGACTTGAGTGTTAGCTGTGGGCCAGGCACTCTTCTTTATATATTTATATGTGTGTTTGCACACGTATATATATGTATATTGTATATACATTTATTTATTTTAAATGTTTATTTGTGAGAGGGAGAGAAAGCATGCTTTTGAGCAGGGGAGGGGCAGAGAGAGAGAGAGAGAGAGAGGAGAGAGAGGGAGACAGGGGATCTGAAGCAGGCTCCGTGCTGAGGAGAGAGGAACCCGATGTGGGACTCGAACTTACGAACTGTGAGATCATGACCTGAATAGAAGCTGGACTCTTAACCAACTGAACCACCCAGGTGCCTATATATTTATATTTATATTTATATTTATATTTATATTTATATTTATATTTATATTTATATTTATATTTATATTATTTATAATATATTTTTTTAACACTTATTTATTTTTGAGACAGAGAGAGACAGAGCATGGACGGGGGAGGGTCAGAGAGAGGGAGACACAGAATCGGAAACAGGCTCCAGGCTCTGAGCGGTCAGCCCAGAGCCCGACGTGGGGCTCGAACTCACGGACCACGAGATCATGACCTGAGCCGAAGTCGGACGCTTAACCGACTGAGCCACCCTGGCGCCCCATATATTTTTTTTAAAGTAGGCTCCATGCCCAGCATGGGGCTTGAACACACAGCCCTGAGATCAGAAGTTGCAGGCTCCACCACTGAGCCAACCAGGTGCCCCTATGCTTTCATATATTACCGCACTGAAACCTCATAACCATCAGGCAGGCAGTCACTATGATTACCATGCTTATTCCACAGAGGAGCATGGCCCACCGCTCCACAGCTGCTACACCACGTCAAGATTTGAACTCGTGCTCGTCTTCCCCGAAACAGTCCAGGTCGGGTAACGTGACCCTTCTCTTTTCTCCTAATTGGAAGTCTGGGGAAGGGAGTCACCACGTCTCCACGCGAAGCTCTGTGCCACGTGCATCACACACGTCGTCGGTTTGGAACCGAGGTTCTCCTCCTTTTCCAGATGGGGAAACTGAAGCTCGGGGGGACGATGGGAACTGCCCAAGACGTGTGATCGATCATTGGTGGGGTGAGATGACGCTGTTCATTTCCCTCCTGCCCATCTCCCTGCAGGAACGGTGCCCATTTATCCTGGAACTCTGGTGCCCAGCCCGGGCCGGGCACACAGGAATAGTAGAATGAATGAATGAATGAATGAGGCAGCTATACTAGAGGAGTGCCAGGGTTAGAGTATACCCCACCCCTTCCATTACTGGCCCTCAGACCCCTAAGTTGACTCCCTATCCCTGTCCCTTACTGACCCACCTGCCTGGCTGGATGACCTCTCACCTCTGCCCGTGGCTCCAGATGACCCTGGGGGCTTCTGGTCGGGGCCCAAATCCATCATTCCTGACTGGTTTGTTCCAGCCCTGCCTCCTCCCATCCATCTTCTCACCGCAGCTAGAGAGAAGGGGGTGGTGCTGGGGGGCAGGAGGAGGGTCCCACTCCAGAAAACTCTTGGACCGGCTGAAGTCCTCTCCAGTGCCCACCTCCGCCACCTCCCACGCAGTCACTCCCTCCCTGCAGAGCGTTTGGTCAAATACCTTGGAACCCAACATATAAGACCGCCAAAGGCAGAGGGCTCTAGCTAGAGGGTGCAGGACGTGAAGGAGTCCTGCCTGGTGCCCCACCCGCCCCCTTTGCGTCCAAGTAGCCCCCAGGGTGGAGCACCCCCCACCACCATCGAGAACCTCCAGGAAGCCATGGAGAACAACTCCGTCCTGGGGACCAGGAGACCTGGGTTTCATTTCCAGTCCAGCTACTGGCTCACTGTGTAACCTGGAGTTACACCGTCTCTCTAACCTCAGTTTCCCCATCTACAACACGAGAGGGTTGAACTCAGTTTTCAGGCTTTTATGACTAGAACAGTGGAAACCTTTCATTCAAATTAAATCACATGCTGAACTCCGATATGGTCGTGCTGTAGTTGAAGTGGGTGGGGCAGAGGGGGGAGTATGGACCCCGGAGTTCTCTCTGCACCTCCCCCCCCCCAAAACTAGTAGTCCCTGACATATCTTCCTAAAACCGTAAGGTTCCTAGAAAGATTTTGAAACTATAAGAATAGATATTTTGGGGCGCCTGGGTGGCGCAGTCGGTTAAGCGTCCAACTTCAGCCAGGTCACGATCTCGCGGTCCGTGAGTTCGAGCCCCATGTCAGGCTCTGGGCTGATGGCTCGGAGCCTGGAGCCTGTTTCCGATTCTGTGTCTCCCTCTCTCTCTGCCCCTCCCCCATTCATGCTCTGTCTCTCTCTGTCCCCCCCCCCAAAAAAAAACGTTAAAAAAAAAAAAAGAATAGATAGTTTTTCGATCATTTTATTATGAAGCATTTCAAACAGACAGCAAAGTTGAAAGACATTTACGGTGAACACATAAATATCCACTAGTTGTGTTCTACCATTAATATTTTACTGTACTTGCTTTATTAAATAAGGGTCCCCTCTCAGCTCTGTAAAATTCCGTGACTCGGAGAGGACTGTACTGGTGGGTATGTGTTTGGGGGAGAGGAGGGGGAGGGAGGTGTTCTGAGTCCTTCCTGGGAAGTCCTGTGAATCTGTAACAGCAACACAGCAGCTGTAACAAACAGACCCTGGTGTCTTAATGGTGCAACTCAGCAAAGGTTCAGTTCTCATATAATAGTCCAAAGCTCGTGCTGTTGGTCAACAAGTGGGCAACTTTCCTCCACCAGTGATTTAGGGCCCCGGGCTCCATCCCTCTTTTGGCCCTGCTCCGCCCTGGAAAGGTCCATCGTCTGCCTCGGGGCAGAAGAGAAAACTGTATACAAGAGGCATAATCACTTCCTACACTCGGCTTGCTCACATTTCACTGGCAAAAGCTACTCGTTCAGCCATGCCTGGAAATGTAGCCCTGAGCTTCATCCTCCCGCTGGGCTCTGCTTCCCAGCATCCACTCCACTCCGTGGAAGGAGGTATGAATTTCAGCCAGTGAGTTGGCTGTCTGTGCCATACGGTGGGGCTAGAAGCACCCCCAAACCCTCCTAAGGCATCCTCGCTGTCCCCTTGTCCCCATCCCTTTGTATCCCAGGCCGGATAGAGAAGGTCTAGTTGGCTCTCTAGAGGAGTTTACCTTTGTTCAATAAACACGTATTGACATCTTACCATACACCTGGGCTCTGTACCAAGCATTGACCATACAAAGATGAACAGGACTAGGTCCCGTCCCTAAGAACCTTCCAGGAAATGGAATGGCTAACTCTTTCCTCTGAAACCCTTCCTTTCCCGAGAGAAGTCCCATGAGATCTTCCATTTTCTGAGGGTGGGTAGATCTGATATTGGAACACTGGAGGAAGGATCTGATTTGAGAAATCTTTCCAAGGCACCTTCTGCGCGCCCAGAACATTGAGCTCATTTGTTCTTCTTCGCTCTTGCAAGGGCACTTTCCCCATACTGCATGAAGGGAAGGAAGGCCAAGGCTCAGGGTGGTAAAGTGACTTAGTGAAAGTTACACAGCCAGTTTGGTTTCATGTCCTGATCTATTTGACCCGATTGGGGCACGTCTTGACAAATGGGTGGTTTTTATGGCTAAACATAGAGGCAGTGGGATTGTTCCTTGTCACGGGGGTGGTTCAATAGGCAAAGGACTGCTTTTTCTATTAACAATGGCGTGAACTTATTTTAAGGCAAGGGAATGGCATCTCGGAGCAATATAATGGTTTACAAAACAGCTGCAGACAGCTTAGCAGATCCCCTCCCTGCTGGATCCCCGCCAGGAAGGGGCTCTGGGGCAAGGGTGGAGGCACCTTTCTGGAGCTCTCTGGGTCTGAGCTGGGGGTGGGGCTATGGGAGGGAGCCCAAGGCCACCGGGCAGGAAGCAGGCACCTGGCCTATCGACAACGCGAGGCCCAATCAATGCTATCTCCCCAGGCCATGCCTGGCCAGACATTGATTTCTGCCGCTGTTGTTAACTCCCTGTTTATGTAACGCCTGAACTTTGCACAACTGAACCGTTTCATGTGCAGAAGAGAGCCCGTTGCCATGAAAACCAGGCTACACATGACAGCCGGGATGCGGCGGTATCCCTGTTTTATTGGCCTGCACTGAATGTATTTTAACCTTGATAAGTCAATAACTTTTTGTACAAAAGGAGATCTGCCAGGCGGGGTTGGGAGGGCCTGGTGGCCTTTCCAGGCCAGAGGCAGGGGCGGGGCGGGCTGTGTTTAATCCCCTGGAAATCTCCCTGCCACTCAGAGCCTGGGAGAACCAGGCCCAGCTGGTCAGAAGAGCAGAGATCGACCTTGCGGTGGGGGGGGGGGGGGCGTCGGGGGGGATCACCTCCACATCCGGTCGCTGCTTCCTGTTTGTTCAGGCCTCCGGCTAAGGCAGAAACCTATCACACAGACCCATCGGGGTTCGAATCCTGGTGCCACCCACCCAGGAGCTCTCTGCCACCTCCAGCAAGACCTCTGACGCCAGCCTCAGGGTCCACGTCTCTAACACAGGCCAGCAGCAGTTCTCCTTCATGGGCTTTGCTGCGAGGTTTACAGATCATGTATGAAAAGTACCTGGGGCAGTGCCTGGTCCGTAGTGGGGAATTATTACTATTGTTGTCACTTTGTTTTACAATAATAATCATTGATTCTGTGTACAGAGTCCATTAGGCTTTTGGAAATGTTATATCTGTTTTCTCACTGTAGTCCTTCCTTGAGATAGGCAGGGCCAGGGTAGGTAGAGTCCCAACTCTCACTTGAGCCCAGGGAAGCTGCCTGACTTGTCTAGAGGGGTCACATGATAAGATGGTGGTGCTGATTGAAGGAACAAAACCCAGGACTCCCAATCCAGTGCTCTTTCAACACTCCCCCTTCATAGGAATAGCCTCTGCGCTGCTGGTTCCCCAACAGCTAACCCCAGACTCAGCAGACGTCACTAATCGATGGCAGCACAGCCCTCTTTCCCTCCTGAGCCTGGGTGAGGAGGCCTCAGAATCCTCCTCAACACACAGCTGGTGTGTGAGATGAGCCTCAAATGAAACCATATGCCCCGAGACGGCTCTGGGTTCAAGTCCCACCTCTGGCCCAAACCTGCTGCATGACCTTGAGCACGGGCCTTCCCTCTCCGGGGTTTAACGGTTCCCAGATTCTCTTGGGTTCTGCCAGGTGGAAGGGACCCCACCACCTTCTGGCTGCTCTCCCAACTCCCCAGGCATCTTGAACCTTCCCCAATTCTGTCAGCAAAATAACGACATAGAACCTACTCTGTGCAAGTGATTATGCAACGTGCTGGCGATCCAGTACCGATGATGACAAAGAGTCCTCCCCACCACCTCCCCAGAGCTGACAATCTAGGCTGGGAGACAGAAGAGAAACAAGTCAACCCACAAGGGCCCAGGGAGTTGCCGACAGTAATCAGCGCTGGGGAGGGAAAGCGAAGGAGGGTGCTGTCGGGGAATAATGCAGATGGGGTGGTCAGGAAGTGCTTCTCTGCAGATGTGACATTTGAGCTGAGACCTAGAGTATGATAATGCAAAGAGCAGAAGGAAGAGCGTTCCAGGCGGAGGGCACAGCTTGGGCAAAGGCCTCAGTGGAAACAGTTTGGCACCTGCAAACAATCAAGGGGACGCCAAGGTGGCCAGAGGGGAGCATGGCAGGGGCCAGTCCCCAGGGCTCCCTGGGCCTCCTCAGCCCCCCCCCTCTTCTGGGCTCCTGGCCCCATCTCCCTGGCCTGCCCTAGAGAGAGACTCTAGGTACTTGGGGGGCAGGGCTGGGTGAATAACAAGGTTACACGTGCTTCTTCGTCTTTCCCCTTTTCTCCAGGAGGAGCATAAAGAGCTCTTTCTTTTCTGCTTATTAATAGCTCTGATTAAATTATCTCTGAAAAACCTACATGGTGTGCACCAATGGGGGCTCGGCTCCCTCCAGGCTCTGGCCTAGATTATGGCAACAAGGGTAGGTGAGGCAGGTGGGGGCTGGGGAGGGAGGCTGGGGCAGGCCTTCTCCCCCCCCCCCCAGGACAAAGGCTCAGTCTCTGCCTCCCCCGCCTCCCTCCCCAGCCCAGCTCAGCCTCTGAACCCCCTCCACTCTTGGGACACTCACAGCCCCCTCAGTTGGGACACTGGACCTTTGCATTGGCATTGCCCTCTGCCAGGATGACTCTTCCCTCGCCCCTCCCCTTGGTTACCTCCTACCCATTTTTTAGGGGCTGCTGAGCAGCCTTTTCACCAGCACCAGCCCACTGGCTGGGTCAGGTGCCTACTCTATGCTTTTCCCTCCTGTTACCCTGGATGATAAGTGCTAGTTGTCTTATCTGTCCCTTCCCCCCCCCCCCCCATGAAACCTGAGCCCCACAAGGTCAAGGACTGTGTTTAGATTACTGCTGAATCCCTAGTGGCTGGCACAGAGCAGGTACTTGGGAAATTTTGAATGAATGAATGATCAGAGTGAAAGAGGGAACAGGCACGACTAACCTTACATATATAAGAAAGTGGGAACAAAAGTTCCAGGCTCCGGTCTCCTTGAGCAGTACCTACGTGGCAATTAACCCCATTTCCCGGTTGGGGAAAACCGAGGCACAGTGCAGATGAGCCACAAGGCTATTAACCTGAAGAGTCAGGATTCAGATCCAGCCAGTGTGATGCCACTCCCTCCTCCTCTCCCTGCTTCTCCACTACAAGAGAACAAAACAAAACCTGGGCCACATTTATTCATTGGTTCAGAGATGGACTCAACAACACTTTACTGAGCACCGACTGCATACCAGGCCTGTGCTGGGGTGAAAGCAGTTCAAATGCAGCTCCTGCCCTCACAGAGCCCTCAGGTTGGCGGGGAAGACTGTCAAATAATTGGGCCATTATAAAATAGACTGGGTACATCTAGGAAGGGGGGAGCGCTCCAGCCTGGAGGGCAGTAGTCAGGGAAGGCTTCCCGGAGAGGGGGCACCCTAGCTGAAGTCTGAAGGAGG